GTATATTAAGATTTACAAAAAAAAGGAGGTACTTTGAAGCAATTTAATAGGGGTGGGACGATATACCGATACACCGATACATATCGATATTTTCCTCTAAGATACGGTTTACGATACAAGCATTCAAATATCGGTACGAAACGATACACGAACGACCTATCCAAAAATTGAAAATGAAAGTACCTGTCCTTGAAAATGGCGGCCTGTACGAAGCGAAGAGATGGTTTTGATATTGAAAACACACTTTAGAACTAATAAGTCGTTGATGAGGGGTAATACGTTTTCACTTTTAAGCAGCCTCGGAAGATTGGACAAGAAAAGTTCAGTGTGCAAAGCGTGCTATACACAGAAAAGTATCGTTTCTAGAACATTTGATATTATTAATTGTTAGTCCATTCGTACTTATTTTGTAAACTCAACAAGGCTACCTGGGACTTTAAGCAATTCATAATAATGTAAATGTGGTTTTTTAAAATGAATTTTTAGTCAGTGTTCGTTGATAACTACACAACTATTTGTAAACAATTTGTTATTTGGTAATGTGTACAATTGTCCTGTACTATTGTTTTTGTAAAGTTTCAGTCAATGAAGTTGATGAACTTCAAGTATTAATTTCATAGCACATATGATTTGATATAGAATAATTTTTTGAGTTAATGTCATGACAAAAAAATAAATAAATAAAATACTAATTCTTTTGAATAGTTTTATAATTTATCATGTGTTAATGTCAAGACTAAAAAAAATGAAATAAAATACTATTTTTTTAATAGATTATAATTTATCATAATATCGAGATATGTATCGTATTGTGCCAATATATCGAGATACGTATCGTATCGCAAGATCTGTGTATCGTCCCACCCCTACAATTTAATTAATAACAAATTAAGAGATATTTTCAAGTTCAAGGGGCATAACTCTGTCCAAAATGGTTCGGTGTTACCAAAAACAAAACATGACCTAGACCCAGATATTCTTATGATATATCTGCATATATATATATATCAAAATTTTATTTCAATATGTGCAACTTCTGCAAAGGAAATGAATGGAAACTGCAAGTAACTGGAATTTTTTGAAGTCCAAGGGGCATAACTCTGTCCCATATGGCTTGATCGTACCCAAAACAGAACTTGACTTGATATTCTTAATTATGATAAATCTGTATACTAAATTTCATTTCAATATGTGCAACTTCTGCAAAGGAAATGAATGGAAACTGCATATAACTGGAATTTTTTGAAGTCCAAGGGGCATATAACTCTGTCCAAAATGGCTTAGTTGTACCCAAAACAGAACTTGATCTAGCTATTTTTATGATAAATCTGTATAATATCAAATTTCTGACTTCTGTTTTTCTTTGTTTATTTAACATTTGGGGTTTACTATATAAAATAAATAACCAAAATTTTATTATAGATATCAAATAAATCATAATTAACACCACTTGAGTAAAATATTTTTGTTTCACAGCATGTACTAAACAACTTTTTTGAATAAATTATTCATATTTGAAATATTTTGTTTATTTCAATGCAAAAAATATTTTTTTAACAAATGAAAGAAAAAGTGAGCAAGCTCACATACCCCATGCTCCCCCAAAAGTCGAAGTGCTGAAATTCCTGGAAAAAATAAAGGAATCAGAATTTCCTGGTAATATGCGCATCTACTGCAAAGTTTGACAAAATTGTGTGCAGCGGTTTATGAGGAGTTGTTCTGACAAACTGTTTATCTCTAAATTCAAGATATGGCCAAAATCTAAGTGTGAAAGTATGGAAATTCACGGAAAAAAATTAAGGAATCGGAATTTCCTGGAAATACGCACATTTACACATTGTGTCCTAAATATATGCAAAGTTTGATGAAATTCTGTGCAGCGGTTTATGAGGAGTTGCGCTGACAAAAAACAGGACTAACAGACTGACTGACTGACACTCTGACAGACGGGTCAAAAACATTATACCGCACGCAACTTATTGTGTGGGGTATAATTAAACATTACACATTTATTGACTCTTTCGGTTTTGAATATGGTTTGTTATTCACCAAAACAATATTCATATTGACCGAGGCAAAGCTGGGGTCAATATGGATATTTTTCTAGTGAATAACAAAACCATATTCAACACCAAAAGTGTCCATAATTGTTTTAATATATAGTCCAAACTTGGATAAATGAAAGAAAAAGTGAGCTAGCTCACATACCCCACGCATCCCCATAACTTGACGGTGAAACACATTTAACGAAAGGCACAGTGCACTTTAAAAACATAGTATGGATCACAAAGGGCAATAATTGCAAAAAATCTTCACATCAAAATGTCTTGCATATGAGGACAATTTAATGTGGAATGAAGTTTCTAGATAAATTTTGGAATCAAAATTTCTTGACAATATACAAATCCACACATTAATTTGAAGTGGGGGGGGGGGGTTGAGAAATTTTCTTGAATAATAGGCAAAACTCTTTGGGATAATATAATGGAATATGTCCTAAATATCAGCATAGGTTGACAAAACTATGTACAACAGCTTAAGAAGAGTGGTGCTGAGAAACTGTTCATCTCTATATTCAAAATATGGCCAAAAAGTCTAAGTTGAAAAGTGCGGAAATTCCCGGAAAAAATAATGGAATCGGAATTTCCTGGTAATATGCACATCGACACATTGTGTCCTAAATACCTGCAAAGTTTGACGAAATTCTGTGCAGCGGTTTATGAGGAGTTGCGCTGACAAACTGTTCATCTCTATATTCAAGGTATGGCCAAATGCCTAAGTTAAAAGTGCGGAAATTCCCGGAAAAAATAATGGAATCGGAATTTCCTGGTAATATGCACATCTACACATTGTGTCCTAAATACCTGCAAAGTTTGACGAAATTCTGTGCAGCGGTTTATGAGGAGTTGCGCTGACAAACTGTTCATCTCTATATTCAAGGTATGGCCAAATGCCTAAGTTAAAAGTGCAGAAATTCCCGGAAAAAATAATGGAATCGGAATTTCCTGGTGATATGCACATCTACACATTGTTTCCTAAATACCTGCAAAGTTTGACGAAATTCTGTGCAGCGGTTTATGAGGAGTTGCGCTGACAAACTGTTCATCTCTATATTCAAGGTATGGCCAAATGCCTAAGTTAAAAGTGCAGAAATTCCCGGAAAAAATAATGGAATCGGAATTTCCTGGTGATATGCACATCTACACATTGTTTCCTAAATACCTGCAAAGTTTGACGAAATTCTGTGCAGCGGTTTATGAGGAGTTGCGCTGACAAACTGTTCATCTCTATATTCAAGGTATGGCCAAATGCCTAAGTTAAAAGTGCGGAAATTCCCGGAAAAAATAATGGAATCGGAATTTCCTGGTAATATGCACATCTACACATTGTGTCCTAAATACCTGCAAAGTTTGACGAAATTCTGTGCAGCGGTTTATGAGGAGTTGCGCTGACAAAAAAAGAGGACTGACTGACTGACGGACTGACTGACTGACTGACTGACGGACCAGTCAAAAACACTAGTTGCGTGGGGTATAATAAAACATCGAAGGCTGAATGAGGACACCATTTTCATTATTGAACTTCAGCCATGAAAAGAAATACTCAGATTTACTGATTACAATTTGTCACCTTCACGTTTTCCTTTCTGTTTTGCTGTGTAAGACGTCCAAATGTTAAAAAATAATCCTGAAATAGGTTTGTATAATATTTTTCCTGCTCAGATACGCAGCTCGCTGCGGCCGTTGCAATAATTGTTTAAAACGTTGTTTGAGGTGTTGATTGTGATGTTACAATGCCCCTCCAGTGAATATGCAGTATTATGAACTGTTTGCTCTTGTATAGATTATATTGGGAAAATAAATAGACTACGTATAATCCCTATTAACCACCCCTGCCACTATAAGCGCCCCCTAGGTCTTTTTTCAATTATTAGAAAATAAGGGCCCCCTCTACAGTGATTAAAATCATCTAGAATCGTATCAAAAGTCTGCCAAAATTTGAACAAAGTGAAAATGTAACTTGTCTATTATCCAATTTCTCAGTGGAAAATGAATCATATCGCATAAATTGGGTGGATTATCTTCACTTAAAGTAAAGTTCGACATTATTTTAGTTGTTCTTTAAAATTTTTGAAGTATAAGAACGACATTAAATAATATAAAGAGAGTACCAAAATAACCGCCCCCTTTTCGAAATTTTCTAAGCGCCCGGGGCGGTTAATAGGGATTATACGGTATATAATAAATTGTGATACATATCATATCGCAGCTCAAATATCATGATGCGTATCGATATAGAAAAAGTTGTATTGTCTTAATTAGCCTTAAATCTACACTACCTTAGTTAATTGAACTTCCATGTTTCTGATCAGCTCTATTGGCACAGTGGTTCTTGAGAAGAATTTTTTTTATTATTGAACCCACCCTATTTTTGACATTAAGTTCCTTGATTATCTCCCCTTGGAAGGGGACTTAGCCCTTCAAGTTCATTTTAACAATTCAACTCATTGACAACCCCCTACTTCCCCAAGGATGCTTTGTGCATGTACTAACTTTGCATGGTTAAAATAGTCCCAGTGGTTCTTTTGATGAAGTTGAAAATGTAAAAAGTTTACAGAAAACACAGGCTAGAGGAGTGGATTGACAATTGGTAATTAGAAAAGGCTCATTTGAGCAACTCCCTTGTAAAAGGTCTTTTAATTGGCTAATAGATTAATATTTAATCTAAATATTAATTTAATTTAAGATTAATATTTAAATGCAGTTAACATGGTTAAACAAGTATTTGATTGTGACATCAAATTAGCAAACCCTTTATGTAATATGACATATTTCATATTTTTATACAAAACAGATTAATTAAGACAGAAACAGTAAATAAATTTTATGACTTGTATTGTATAGGGAAAACTATTTTGCGACCTTCAATGCTGATTTAATAGTCAGGCACTGAGTTTTACTATACTGATACTAGTGCCCCCACAAAATATTTGCTCTTACCGTGTCTACTTTTGTACATTTTAATCCATTCTTGTATTTCAAATTAGCTGCATACTCTGAACTTCCATTCAAACATGTCTTTATGTTTAAGAGTACTTTCTTTTTCACTTCTGGCATACTAAACAGACAAATAGCTGAGCTATTTTCCACACTATGACTAAAGAGTCCCACCAACACATCATCATCTGAAGTCAGATGAGGGAACTTTTCCTGCAGTGATGACAACAAACTCTGTCCCGGTTTGAATACTTCTGCTGTCTTCAAAATGTTAAATGTCTTGCTGTTTGTTTTGCAAGTCAACGGAATTTCCAGAAAAGTTTTCAATGAGTAATCCTTTCTACACTCCTTTCTACACATATGCACAATTTTGGAGTAATGTTTTGTATCATCTGGATTCCTTTCATTAAACAATATATAACTGTAATTCCCTGAAGCAAATCCAGTAACATATGATATCAATCCAGGTTTCATGTATTTATTTTCTGTTTCATAAGTTATTTTTCCATGAAGTGAAAAGTCATCAAAAAGCCTTGTACTGACCAGGGGGTGAGATCTTCTATGATTAAATTCTAAGGAATTTTTAGACTTATCAAACCTTGTGAATTCAGAGGCTACATAAATCATTGTTTCCATTGAATTAGTAGCACTATTCATCACTTGCGTAATAAATGCAATAGTGTTCACATCAATTTCATTAGATGCCACTGCAGTGTTTCCAGTGACGAAAATTTCACTTATATTTTTTGAATTCCTAATTTCACATTTTCCTTGAAACAAACTTCCACAAATCACAAGCTGATTGGAATGAAGTAAGAGAACTTTATTGTGGTTGTCCATGGGTGACAATTCAGCTATTGATGCACATGTCTCCAAATTAATTCCACATTTCTGTGTATCATTTTTTGGACCTGTGATGATCTCCATTTCTGTTTCTAGATCCAGATTGAGTTGGTAGATGTAGTTAGTGGCTCCAATAAACAGTGTCTGGTTGTCCACGACCATGTGTCTGAGACTGCCCCTGTCATCACTGACCAGCGGGACAATGTCGATGGCGGCGCCGGACCCGCCCCACAAGACACACAGGATAAGCCACCACCTCATCTTCACATATTCTCCTCCTCCTCACTCCGTGAGCTTATCACACCTGTAAAAGATGAAAACAGAATAACAGATTGCTCAGTAAACAACTTCTCTTTAGTCTTATCAATTGAAGAACTTGCAGCTTATCCATGACTCTCAAACTCTAGACAAATTCTTTCTCACATGTCAAGGTAACAGATGATTCCTACTGTAAATATTTTAACTTGTAAATGCATGCATTGCTCAATTCTGTAAAATTGGTTATCTTATAACATTTTCTCCATAAAGATCATAATATGATCAGTCATACTTATATAAATATGCAAATATCCTTTTGTAAATGCATATTCAAGTTAGTGCAAATTATAAACCCATCCAACCCCCCTCCTGTGGTAGGGTGGGGCCCGAGTCGCCTGACAATAAAAGAACAAATTGTACATGGGAAAAAATATAAACTGCTCCCAAGAGCAATGTAAGGTGTAAATCATATCTGTTTTAAGCAAGCTTTCCTAGATAAGAAACCAAAATGGCCCTAAGCCAGGGGTTACTTTGGGTCACAATTAGGGATCAAATATTTTACATGGATAACGGAGGAGAAAAATCCTTAAGTTTTCACCCTAAAACAAGCAAACTAATATTATATCAATTTGCAAGAATTTCAGGCTAATGTAGATTTTTATTTGTTCAGTTCATTGCTCTAGACTTGAATAGTCCAAAAATATGGGCCCCCTCAGAGGAACAAAAAATGTCTATTACAAACATAAAGCAAAGAGGAAGATCCAAGTGATTAAAAGCAAACTTGATGTTGAATTATGTATACAAAGGAACAAAGTAGTTAAAATTGGCATGCATAATTTTGTTCCTTGATCATGTAGATTTACATTAATGTATATATTCACTTAGTTACTTGACTTAATAATCATTAATCAGTGTATGCACCTTGATTAATAAGGAGAAAATCATCAAAATTGTGCTAAAGAAAATTGGACCCCCTACAGTTCCCTCAAATTCAAAAGATCTGCAGTCCTTTGTCTGGTTTTTCTTTTTGCATGACATTTGATACTGTGGGACATGAACAAACAACTTTCTAGCCATATTACATGACCTGAGATCAAATGTAAAGATCCTATCAAAGCATGATGAACAGTAATACTCTTACTTTATACAAGTATGAAAGCTTCAAACCGATTTCAGTATAGCTTTAAAACCGATTTCACTGCAAAGCTTAAAAGGTCTAGTCTGTCTTTAATACCCAATAACTCCTGAAAGCCAATACACAATCTGATAAGACAACGGACATTTTCTTTGAGACAATCTGTTCCAAGTCCTTCATCCTGCAGTCTCTCATTATGGTCTCCCTATTTACTCAGCCCTGCTGAAAGTGGATACAGATAGCCTAGTATTGAATCACCTTTAATTGGCCAATTTTCAGGAATTGTTCAAAACTTACAGAAAAGGCAGATAGTATTGGTTTTGGTTATAGGAATAAAAAAGACTGCAGATCAATAGCATTACTGAGTCATTTTTGTGCCCTATAGGAGAAAGCATTGATTTGGGACCCTGATTGGCCACCTAACATGTCATAAACGTATTCTCTGCTTCTCTTCAATGAAAACTGCTGGGCAATTAAAGTTTTTTTTTTAACTTTACATGTGCATGTGTCGATTAGTCTATAGCTAGTGCCTTTTTAATAAAAAATTAATACAGAAAGAGCATCCATGTAGTTTTCAAATTAAAAGTGGAAGAAATTCGATTCTTATATTAGAATCAATAAGACTAGTGGTAATAAATTTAAACCTTAAAAATTCTTTAGTGTAATTCAATTTTTTTCATACCTCAGTGTTAAGAGTTTGAAATATTTTTGGCAAAGTATTTCAAATATCAGGTTCAAGAGAACTGTAATATTGGTATTTAAAAATATTTTTTTCACAAACTCTGCACAAGTAAAATATCAAAAAAAAATATGTATACATAAAAGTCATTTGCAATTGTAAAGCACTATGAACTATTTTGAAAAGTAGGTCAAATGGTCAAGTTCAAGAATCACAGGTCAGTAACCATTGGTATTTTACAGAAGGCACATAATGCCAAGTAATATATGTGTAAAATATAAAATTCATACCTCTTAAAGTTCTTGAAATATAAAGTGTGACAGATGGAAAGATGGACAAACGGACAAACTCCAGTTTAAGTGATTTTTAAGTGTTGCTGTGTACTGCAGGCGTGACATGAAATTACATTTTGTGAAATGTAAACCGAATTCATTCAAAATTCCGACAATTCATTCAAAGTAAACATGATAAACACAGCTAGGAACCTCACAATTACTTCCCTGTACCATTCAGTTACGGGAACAATAAAATACTTTAGATAAACACTCACAAGTACCCCCTGTACATGCATGTACTTATATATATAAAAAAAAAACTCCTACTCCGAATGAGTCCTTTCTTTATCACTTAAATGCAAAAAATACAGCAATTTGAAAATATTTTTTTTTAATTTAATAGTCAGACATGAAGTATGTGATAAAAATTCCTTTTAAACAAATTATTTGCACATGAATTTCAAGTTGCAAATACTCTCCATCTTCTTTGGTAGTTTCTGTTCAATTAAAAGAATCTATAACATACAACAAATTAAAGGGTTAGAGGGGGTGGGGTTTCCTCAATATACTTATTGTACCAAAAAAAAATTACTTCATACAACATGTATGATTGTTTTGAATTTCAAGTTTTCATATCATGTCATTTTTTATTTTCCCAAGCTCCCCCTCCTCCAAAGCCTTGACTGCCTATCTTTCAGAATTGGATTAAGCTGGATACTTTGATTTAATTAATAAAAACAGGGAAGAAAAAATACTTTAATTATTAACATGAAAAAAAAAAATCACTTATATACACAAAGTAAATACAGGTACTTGTGATGAAATTTATTTTTTAACCGTTCGTTAATTTAAATTGTTATTAACAATCTAAACACTTGTAAAAACACTTTAAAATAGAGAGTCTAGCTGACACAATAAATTAAAAATCCTGTCCACTTAGTTCCTTCTTCATCCCATGTATATAGTATCATAGTTTAATTACATATATTAAATGTACATAGATACATGCAATTTCAACATGCTGCATTAATTCATACTTACAGACAAGCTTTTGAACTTTATAAGGCTAGTTAGAGACCACACAGAGTTGATATGGTTAAATACTAAGTTACTGTAAAGGAAATCCTCCCTCACTCAGTAGAGGAAGTGCTGGGGTTCATAAGGGGTAGTTAACTGTTATAAATAACAGAATTCTTGACACAGATAATTATAATCAGTACCCATACAAGAAATTTAATGTACACACACACAAACACAGAAAATTTTGGTGAGGAAATTAACTATAAGGATGAAATACATGAACAGGTATCATCCGAAGTTCATCCTGGAATAAATAACCTGTTCTCCGAAATCATTTGATCTTAAGGATGACTGGTAGATACAGAAGAGTACTTGTAAAGGAAATCTTCAGTACCATCAGGAAATATCTGCCATCTTGGTTGATCGTTACATCATAAGGAACTATTCATACAGAGTTTTAGGGTTTATTTTCGTTTAATTCTTATGTACATGTACTAGTAGTATGAAGCATCTTTAAAATGTCCCCTTCTAATGGCTTCTATGGACAACCTTGCTATAAATATAGTTATATAGTGTACATATATCACAGTTAAATCTTCAAATGACATTCGATTGCTTTCAGAAGAATAACTATCAAATGGTCATGATGGTTAACCGTTTTCTTATATTGGAATAGGTCAAAAAATCTTTCAGAAGAATTTGATTATAAACACTTAAATGTGATGGACACACTGTTACAATTAAGCTATATTATTTTTCTCAAAATCCCTCGTTCCCTAATTGCCTTTGTTTTTAAATCAAAGTGTATTGCAACCTCCAATCGTACCTGGGGAAGGGGGTTGGGAGTTGGGGAGGTCTACAAGATGTGAACATGTCATCATCCAGAAAATAATACTCAGCATACCTATATTGTTATTCCAAGCAGCTGTTTTTAATTCTATTTGATTATCATTCTTTCTCTATGCTCCATCCTTCAAACTATTAAGTTGGATGTACTTTATTATATTTTGACCTTGAAAATACCAAAACACAAAAAAAAGTACTTAGTCTTGGCATATCCAAAGAACTAATTTTTGGTAAGTCACCATGATATAACTTGCATTTATTATTCAGAACAGAGCTATTGATATTACAGATCCTTGATTTTTTTCTACCCAAGTCATAAAAATATAAATATTGCATTTTGCGGTCCAAAACCACTAAAAAAAAAACCCACCTGCCAAGCCAACCAGCATTAAAAAGATCACGATTTAAATCAAACATTGCATTCATCATGAAAGGGCTTTTGTGCAGTCCTTATGTTGATGCTTGTTAATAATTCCTGATGTGTTATTTTTGAATTGGCTGCACAAACCAATAAATCAATTTGTGTTTAGCAGTAGAGTAATTTAAGATTCTACTTTCATGCTGTATTTTGATAGTTCCAATCTCTGGTATGAATAATTGAGGCAATATCATTGATTAAAAGTGTCCACCGAGTAAAAATGACATCGAAATAACAAGCATTTGTGGGAATTCATTAAATTTTAATCTTAATTTTACACAGACTTAATTACTGATCAGTACCTGTATATAATGAAGCTCCTTTTCTGTCGACATTTACTTTTGTTCCAAGCTAGCCCACCAAATATAAGTATTATTCAGATTTACTATCATTTTGGGTTAAGTGTCTGGAAAATTATCGAGCCTTTCCATTAGGTAAGAGTCTACCCAAACACTTATTACCATATCAAATCAGATAAGTCAACAGGGCTTTGAAAATAATTTTTCAGGTCATATTACATGGCGTATCTCATATTTCTTTTATACTCCATCTACGATACAGAAAAGAAACTGGCTGTGTAAACTAATTTCTTTCTATAAAGCAGTCACAGCTAGCTCAAAGGGAAGATATCTATAAGTTTACAAATTCACCATACAAACTTACGCAAACAGTCTTAGTGCATATATAGGAAATCCATATACAAATTGGATGGGCTGGCATGACCAGAAATATATTTGACTTTTCCAGACAAGCATTCTAATCCCAACATAGCAGGACAGAATTAGGAATGGCCCTATTAAGATTCAAGGATAATACAATCTTGATTTCAGCCACCCACCTCTTTGCTGGTTGGAAAACAGTTCTTTCTCTTCTTTGTAATAAGTGCACTACAGCTCATAATGGAGTTAGTTTCTTCTTTAACAAGGGCTTAAATCCACTGTAACCGGCCATAAAATAGGCATGAAATTATTTCCATTTCTTATAAACACCCATTACATGCACTGTAATCCTTCAGAAAGAGCTGGCGAATAATCTTTTTCAATCAGGACTGCAGATGGGGAGGCCTCCACAGGGGGTTCTTAAGTAGCTTCATGTACAGAGGCCAACACAGGGGGCAAAATATCCTCCCCGAGAAAAATAAGCTATGGCAGTGAGATAATATTTCTCTGTATCTCCCCACATTCCTCCTGTTTTAAAATAAACAGCTGAGGCCCTTCTCAAAAGCATTTCTCTCCTGTTCTCCGCATTAACACTGAATTCTTTAAAAGCGTCTCATTACACAACATGAACAATCAAATCTGTGAAGTCCTGATCAACTTACACACTGTGTATATTAGCTTCAGTAAAGCTTAGGATAATGAATACATGTTATCTTAATCATGAGATTTTTTTTCTCAAATACATATAAAGAACCTAATTAACCATGTAACACAGAGCACACTCAACACGCTTTCACGAAATTACTGTCAATGGTGTATATATACATATTTATATATTCAGTTTCACAATCTACCACTGGAGCAAGAAAAATTCAAATGAAAAGGTGATCGATTTACATAAAACTATTAACCCTCCACAAAATGCATATATAAAAAAAAATCCTGGTTGCATTAATTTGTGATACTGATCAATATACTTTTAGGAGGAATTTTCTCACATGCATGTATATATACTATTATTTTAATTAGCTTTTGACTTAATTACCTTTGGAAGTGAACCTTAAAATTTAAAATGAACATATCATACTGAAATGTCTTGGGAAAAGAAAATAATAATGAAAAAAAGGTTTTCAATTTTTGTCTTCGTTTAATCATTTGAAAAATAATTTTCTTTCCTAACGAACCAACTGTGAAAATCTGCTGCGGATGGTGGCTTTGCTGAGTGAGCCTGTGTTTGCAGAGGTAACTAATGCAGCCTGAGTGATGGAGTCACACTACCGATTTAATGGGTGCTGCTTAGAATTGGTGAGATTCCTAGCTAATTAATTTAGAGCAGTGAAGCAGGGCTAGAGGGCCGTTAGTTCATTAATCACTCTCTCTGTTTTAATTAACAGCGTCCTCCAATGAGACTTCATGCTGTAGAAGATACCCTTCCTGGTGAACTCAAGATTCCAGGTTCAATTTGACGCAGATGAAATAAATCTTTTTTAGAGGCAGGAGATGAAAAGCTGAATTCCATAATACAAAGGAAATTATTTTTGACAACATGCATGCTTATCATGCAGTAACGGTAAAATTGTTCTTTAATCTTTTGCATATATCAGTAGGTCTTTAAGTGTATTAAAATACAAACAGGGAGTCAAAAGTCATAGATGATAATGCGAGGCAATTAATATCTGTATGAAAAATCAAAACCAATTTTGATGTTTTAATGTATTTGTGGGGCAGCTATAACATGTATAAGAAAGAGAATCTTGCCTAAAAATTCATATCTGTTTAAAAATTAATCTACAGTATTCTACCTAATAATCACACCATCCCATAAATATGCCCCTCAAGAATTTTCCCTTTTTTTTCCTGAGAATTTGTATCCCTCCCCCCTTTCTTAAAGTAATGGTCTCAACGATTTGAGACAATCTTGAACAACTTTGTTTTACCCACAAATCATTTATAGATAGGGTTTAGACATAAGCTTAAATCAACTTTTGACACAAATCAATTTATTTATAGATAATTTTAAAACAGCTACCAAATAACCACCCCTTTTTTCAATTTTCTAAGTGCCTGGGCCTTTTATAAGGGTGAATGCAATATATATGATGTTCTTGACACACAAACAATAACCTGAATACCTTAGAAGTAAGTCATATTTACATAACTTTAACAACTATGTTATATTTACAAAGAACTGCAGACATGATTTGGATCAATATATAAACAGATCTCATTTTACACTGGTTTGTATCACAAAGATAAAATATCAGTAATTCAAACAAGGAAGATTAACTTACTTCCCTGAATTATTTCTATCCCCCTCAACACCCCTCTCCCCCCCCCCCCCCACCTACATCTCAACCCCCTTGGGCACAAAGATACTTCAAGTTCATCAATATATGAATTTAACAATATACATATTTCTGGTATACTCGAAAACAGGGCAACACATAAAACAAAGGGTATGTGTAACACCAGCAAGCCTTTCATGGAAAGGAACAGAATTTTGTTAATACAATAACCTCAAAGTAAAACAAAAGAACCACAGTCCTTCTGTAACCCATTTCTTCTCACACTTACCTCAAGAGGCTGCGCGCTTCATGTAGACACATCCAACTGTACAGTGTTTTCCTCTCAAGTCATACTCATCCCCCTTCCACATCCTACAAGGACAGAATATAATACAACCAACACATTATACAACCTCAGGACTTCCATGTATCCATGATTCACAATCAGCTAATTGTGCCCTAATCAAATAACAGAAATCTATAACCACCTAATAATAGAAAGCAATTTATCCAGCATGCAATCTCTGTTCACTGAAACATAAACAATTTTCTACCCATTCAACAAATGAAAGCGCTGGCTGTATCCCGTCACAATAAGACAATTAAAAGTCGGGCTACCGCCAGGAACCATAAAACTCTAGTATTTACCCTCAATATATATATATATCAATATCATTCCAGATTTAACGATGTAATCAGAGCAATTAAACAAAATGTCTCCACTTTAAAAGATTCTCTATTTCCCAATAATGTGCCCAACTTAAGAAGCCTTCAAGGGAGTCAAATTTCTTGTTACAAGGCTTTTTGTACTTTAAGGATTAAGGGAAATTTGACCCCCCCCATCTCTCTCTCTTTCTCTCTCAGAGTCTCTGTAATCAAATAGTACTGAACTATTTATTAAGAGGTGCCAAAGTTGAAACTAAAACTTAATTTAACAGATCAAGAAATAAGATTAACCTTATTTCTGAAATTGTCCAATTTCCAACACACTGGTCAAGATATTTATTCTACCTCCCATAGACCCTGAATTACCAAGCAATTAAGCTAATTGTCTGGTCTAATGTTTACCAATAGGATTACAGAGACATGCCTCCACAGATGTTGAAGAATCTGTTACAGTGTATGTACAATATTGGCCTAATTTATACAATGTTAATGGCAAGGTGTCTACATTAGTTAGCTCTAGAATTTTAGGTGAAATATTTTGGCTAACTTTATTCATGTCTGCATTAGATAGAGCTAGATTTTAAGGTGAAATAATTTGGGTTAACTTATTTTCAGCAGGAAATTTACTAAGGTATGTAAAAGATCTGATAATCAAGTTTAAAAAAAATTTCCTTAATGGTATTCGGATAAATATTCCAAAAAGATACACAGAATGTTAATGAAAAGACTAATGGATTTCTACAGCGCTGTGTATTGAGAAAAAAAAAATGATATGAAAAAAATGATGTTCAAATATCAATATTCTTCATCTTTTAAATTTAGCTGTAACACATCATGTTGGGTAAAAGATTTAATCCATTTAGCATCACTTGTCTACGTCACAATGAGTTACGTCAAAAACGTATTACTCCGCTTGAAGTATGCTTTTAAAATTTGCTGAATTCGAAGCCTTTTTCTGGAGGAAAAATTGTTTCATTATTTACACTGAAACTAAATTATAAAGAATGAGGCTTATTTCAACTTATGTTATATGATGTAACATAACTTGGGGCAGTTAATGCTTTTTTATAAACCTCTTCGCGGCACTCTTAAAAATAAAGTGAAAATAATGAAAAAAATTCAAATTTGATTCTTTAAAATATGCAAAACTAGCATGTTACAATATGAAAATAATTTTTGGAGTTATTTTTCCTGACTGTGGAGATACGTCCTTAAACTGAACCTTGAGAATGACAACCTTTCCTTATTTATGCATCCCTTATCTCTGCTGTCCAGATTCCCATCTCATCCTTAAAACTCCTATCTCCCATCAGCAGATATCATATGCAGTTAAAGATTTGCTCAATAACACACAACTAAACAAACTGTAACACCATACTTAAAATAATCTTAAGGAAATGAAATATAGCTGAATTCTGTCATTTCTTTTGAAGAGCCCATTCCTTTATTTCTTTAGAAGATGAATAAATATGATGATTATAAGCTCTACACAAAATTGCTTTACCCCTTGACTGAGCTTTGAACAATTTGGTGACTCAATTATCTTAAGGCTGTACTTCCCTTTTTAGTCACTGATATCAAGTCTCTTGCTTTATGACTTTCTGAACTACATGGTATATATATTTTAAACTTTATGGAAGTGCTATGTTAAATAGACACATTACAATATTGTACTTTATTATTTACATCTGCAAATTTATATTGCTTTCATAAAATGACTGGGAGTGGGACTTACTCACAATATGGGGATAAATGAGAGGTCCTGAACCAAACGTTCTACACACTGATCCTTTGTGTTGTTAAAGTGAAACATACCTATTGTGTAGTGTAGGATCTTCAGAGTTTAATGAAGTTTAAGTTTTCTGCAGGAGAAATTACTTCTCCATTTAGTCAATTACCTGATGAGCTTTGAAGTGTCTCACTTAAAACACTTGATTCCTGTTACATAACAGTGTACTTATACAGATTAGGTCATCCCTGCTACCAGTACAATCTCTTCACAAAATGTTACTCAGCCTAATCCAGCTACCTTAATGTGCAATCTTCACTAAATCTAATCCAGCTACCTTAATGTGCAATCTTCACTAAATCTAATCCAGCTACCTTAATGTGCAATCTTCACTAAATCTAATCCAGCTACCTTAATGTGCAATCTTCACTAAATCTAATCCAGCTACCTTAATGTGCAATCTTCACTAAATCTAATCCAGCTACCTTAATGTGCAATCTTCACTAAATCTAATCCAGCTACCTTAATGTGCAATCTTCATTAATTCTAATCCAGCTACCTTAATGTGCAATCTTCACTAATTCTAATCCAGCTACCTTAATGTGCAATCTTCACTAATTCTAATCCAGCTACCTTAATGTGCAATCTTCACTAATTCTAATCCAGCTACCTTAATGTACAATCTTCACTAATTCTAATCCAGCTACCTTAATGTGCAATCTTCACTAAATCTAATCCAGCTACCTTAATGTGCAATCTTCACTAATTCTAATCCAGCTACCTTAATGTGTAATCTTCACTAGTTCTAATCCAGCTACCTTAATGTGCAATCTTCACTAATTCTAATCCAGCTACCTTAATGTGCAATCTTCACTAATCCAGCTACCTTAATGTACAATCTTCACTAATTCTAATCCAGCTACCTTAATGTGCAATCTTCACTAATTCTAATCCAGCTACCTTAATGTACAATCTTCACTAAATCTAATCCAGCTACCTTAAGGTATCCAATCCATAAAAGGATATATCTGTTATGCATTCAGATTTATAGAATCTGAGGCTATTATGGATTGGGAAACCTTAATTTGCAATATTCACCAAATCTAATCCAGCTACCAGTACAATCTTCACTTAATGTAGCCCTGGACCAGCTACCAGTGCAATCTTCACTAAATGTAACCTAACTACCAGTGCAATCTTCATTGAATGTAACCAGTGCATTCACTAAATGTAACTGGGTGCAATCTTCACTAAATGTAACCCAGCTTCCAGAGTGCAATCTTCACTAAATGGAACCTAGCTACCAGGGCAATCTTAACTAAATGGAACCCAGCTACCAGTAATATCTTAACTGAGTGTAACCCAGCTATCAATGCATTCTTCACATCTAACCCATCTACCAGTGCAATCTTCACAAAATGTAACAAGTGCAATCTTCACTAAATGTTACCCAGCTTCCAGTGCAATCTTCACTAAATGTAACCCAGCTTCCAGTGCAATCTTCACTAAATGTAACCTAGCTACCAATGCAATCTTCACATCTAGTCCATCTACCAGTGCAATCATCACTAATGCAATCCTAACCATTTGCTAGACTAAGTGCAATCTACTTATGTAATACAGCTTTCAGTGCAGTCTTCAAGTACATATTGCTAACTACAAATGCAGTCTTCATTACATGTAACCCAGCTACAAGTGCAATCTTCACTAAATGTAACCCAGCTTCCAGTGCAATCTTCACTGAATGTAACCTAGCTACCAATGCAATCTTCACATCTAGTCCATCTACCAGTGCAATCATCACTAATGTAATCCTAACCAGCTACTAGTGCATATCTACTTATGTAATACAGCTTACAGTGCAGTCTTCAGTACATATTGCTAATTACAAATGCAATCTTTATTACATGTAACCTAGCTAGTAGTGCAATTTCTATTACTTGCAATCAGTGCAATCTTCATTACACAGTACATGTATATGTACCCATTGTCAAGGCTAATACAATTTAAGTAATGAACACAGCAACGATATGACCTTATATACTTGTAAGAATTACAAATCAAACAAATTTACCATCAATTCAGTCTGTGGTCAGAGAAGTATATACACATAGCATTGGTATAAATAATGATCAAGCCTATAAAATGAGACAAAACAAACCTCAATCATTGAGTCTGGAGAATAAACCGGGAAATTCTGCTCACAGAAATCAATCAAAAATATACAATTCTTGGCACGAGGAAAAATGTGTAATTGTTACTATATCCAGCTACAGAGGTCATTTAATAGAGCTAATATCTTTAATTAAATCTAAATGACATAGTTCCTTGTATATAATTCTAGCTAGTTTGAACTTTAATTATTGCTCTCACTACCAGAAACATGCACTGTAAAATTATTTAAGGAAAACTTCAAAAATATATTTTTGAAAAATGCCCATACATCTGTGAACAAAATTTTAAACATATTTTTTACATCCTTGATACTGGAAATGAATCTTCAAATACTATAACAGCAATATCTGTAACAGATGTTCAAAATTGCTCATAAAACTAGTGTCCACAATTAGTACATGTGCAAGTCAATAAAAAAAATATTAAACCTTCAGCAAATCACAAACTGGCTCATTTACAAAAAGGCCCATTCATTTATTTACTGGTATCTCACATTAAATATTTATGGATTACTCTGTTAAAACACATGACTAGTCCCATGGCCAGCTAAAGGAGCCTGGGATACATTGGAAAGCCGAGTGCGACCATGTCAGTACTAGCCTTGATTAAAGCCCCTAGAGGCCTGTATATGTCAATAATGCATGGCATGTTTCATCCCCTTGTTTTGGAATGGTCTCCCCAATCAATATTGCACTGCAGGCATCAAGTTGGTCCCGTCTCTTCATAATTGATGACCCTGATATCTACACCTCTCCAAAATAACACCAGATATCTCACCAGGCAATTAGCAACCTGGGCTCAT